AGTTGTTAATTAGAATTGTACAGGTAGTAAAGCTGAGGTGTTAGTCTGTTAAATTGTAATTTTGTTCTTAAAACCTAAATCTTATCACAGAACTCTTCTCATTTTTCCATGCCTCCTCCTGATGTTGCTTACCTCTGAAGAGTGCTTTTATAAATAATAATGTTTGCAAAGCTGTCAAGATGAAACTGAGTGTAACTTTATTCTTGTGGTCTAGGATAGTTATCTGGTTTTGAAAGCTTAGGAATTGAACCATTTTCTGCACATTTAGTTGCCTAAACCAGCTCATTGTGGGGTAGAACAACGTTATTGCTGGTGAAGGCGTTTGCTGACCAAACTTGGTATATGGAGGTGGGGAAGCCCTTGAAATTTAGTTCTGTTCCCCACAATTTTTCCAGTTGTGGTATCAGTGCGTGATAATGCTCAAATTAACAAGGCGTTAACATAACAGAGTTTATAGCATCAGCTAAACCAGGGTGTTCTGCTAGATTACTGATGCGTGCCTGCTGCTTCTGGAGGACAAAATTACCTCTTCCTTGGGTCGTGTGCTCTTCTGTGCTGCTCCCATTGCACTGCTACTGACTACCTACTTACCTCACTGTGCATCAGGCCACATTGAGAACCATGGCATCAAAACCACAGCTTGCAACAGCCTCGACTGAGCAGTACAGCCAAGTTGATGTATTTGTGTAGAGTGATGTCTTTTCAAGAACCCATCACTTTATTTTTTGAAACTGTTAAGAACAGTGTTGGTATATTCAGGATGCAAGAACTAAATCATACACGTTTCTTGTACTACTCTGTGTTAATAATTGTCAGGTTTCACAGAAGCTTAACATGATCCTCGTAAATTCTGTGAATGGCAATACTAGTAACAAATGGGATTGAGAGGGTGACTGACACTTATTTATCATGGTTGATTGTATTTGGTGTCTAAAGAAAAAGTGAACTCCAACTGGAAAGTTTCTAGTGGCTGGAACATTTGTATGATCTCTTTCACAAACACTTGCTTTGTCCCAGGGTGTTTATTTCCCTCAGTGCAGACATTAGTAAGACACTTTCCCCTATCTGACTGTTTTCCCAAGCAATGTGCCGTAATAAACGGGGATCTTTATATTCAAGCACAGAATTTTTCTGTCAGATTTAACTCTATATAAGCTGCTTTTTATTCATGTACTTAATGCCTCTGAATTTGTTTTAATGGTTAACCTGTTTCATTAAAAGCTTCGTATTTTACATGGATGGAACTTGATTTACAAACAAGAGATTGGTGTGTTTGTACCTTTTAAACAGAATTCATGGCTTTTAAATGAACAGGAATATGCAAATTGAGGGTATTTTTCATCAGCCCCCTGTTACTTTCATACATTAACTAATCCTGTATTTTGGCTATTAAAATAATTTGTGGGAGGAACTGCTGTTCCAATGATTTTCCCTGTATTTAGCTCACAGAAGCGAAGTCGTCAGGGAAGTATCGTGCTCTGTTCTGTGGATAAAACCACGGCAAAGTGGTGCCAGCACTGAGGCGTATGTGCATCCTATCACTCAGCATGTACCTAGTCCTTAAAGACTGTATCTCCAGAAAAGCAGTTTGATTCACTCCAGGTGCATGGGGTCATGTTTCTTTCTCTGCTCTTGGGGAAAAAAAGAGAAGGCCTCTTGTGTTCTAGCTCATTGTGTGGTAGTTTAACTTGCGTCTAGATGTATAAACAGAGTATCTGATGCTATTTTTTCTCTTCTCCCCCATATCTTTTACTTTCCTCTTTCCCCTAAAAATACCTTCCATTTTTCCTATCAGTTCATAATCCCTATACTGCAAACTTTATCTGTGGAGTTCTGACACCAAATTTCCCAAACAATTAATTTTTCTTTTGAAAACATGGCATATTGATTATATCTTTTTTATTCTGAAAAAGTATTGTCTTTAGTAATTGTTCTATGAAACTTATTGAGTACCATAGGTGTTTCATTTTCATTCCTGATTTCCTCGCAGAAAGAGATGGAAAAAGTTCTTTTCATGTAGTGACTATCTGTCCATTTTAATGTCTTGTACCCAGCAAAATGGACCCAGACCTGGACGGGGGCTTCACGTGCTACTTTTACATAACTTCTTATTAAAAGAAACTCAAATAGAGGTTATGTAGACTTCTATACTGTGTAGTGAGCTTTAGATGTGGTGCATTTAATCTGTCCTTTGTCTGTCATTGGAAATTTCAGTGGCACTTATGTCTCGCAATGGTGTGAAAGCCATAGGATTGTGATGGTAATCATTTATATTAGATATATTACAAGAAATTCATATTTGTTCCAGTAGAGTGAGATCACTAGTATGATTTACATGTGCTTTTCAGCATATACATACATAACTTGGGTAAGAGGATGCAGGTTTGAAGGTAATTTGAAAAATGAGGGTGTGGGGTTTCTTTTGTTGTGGTTTTGGTTGTTTTTTTTTTTTTAGGGTATGAGGTTATTCAAGGTGCTAAAAGTACTGAGTAACCTAGAGATAAAACAGCTGACAGTTAATACTGATAAATGCTGACTGCTTTACATGGGGGAAGATGTTTCTAATTTTGCATAGACAGTAGTGGGCACGTAATTAGTTGTTAGTGCTCTGGAGAGAGATATTGGTATTACAAAAGATAAATGTTTGAAAATGTTAGCCCAATGTTTGGTAGCCATCAAGAAACAGGTAAAATGTTAGAAATTACTCCTTTCAAATGGAGAGCAGACCTCTGTAAGTCATCCCTGTGTCGTTCTGTTAAGTCCCTTTTGTGTTTTCCTGAGCTGCACTATTGCCTGTGGTTTGGGACTTCTCATCCTGGAAGGATGCAGTTGGATAGAGGAGGCAGGAGCGGTGAGAGTGACCAGCAGTGCTGAGTGTCTTGCGTGGCACCAGCAGCAAACCAGACCAGACTTCTCAAGTCAGGAAAGGTTTTGATGGGGTTGTGAAGCAGAGAAGGGCTTGTTTGAGAGATTTATAGAATAAAATAGGTTTAAAATAAAAATAAACAAAATCTAACATCACAGGCTCCGTAGATAAAGTGAATGGAGGGCATCAGATTACATTAATAATGTGCAGATGCAAAATGAAATGCGATGGTTTTTCTCATAATATGTATTCAAACCGTGGAACTTGGAGAATGTTGTGAATGCTGAAGGATGATGGCTCAGGTTTAAAATAAAAATAAACAAAATCTAACACCTCTCCTATTCCTCAAAAGTGTGAGGAAGAAAACCCCATCCTAGTCTTTTAAAAAGAAAAATATGACCACTGATTCAAGAAACGTTTGATCCCTTGGTGACTGAAAATGGAGAGTGTAGTTCAGGGAAAGGGTCATTTTGTCATCCCTGTATTCTGTCATTCACATCTTCTGTTGCTCACTGTCAGAAATAAGGTAGTAGGGGAGTTGGATTTTGAGTCTTAATTTTGGCTGTTCTTGTAACTGGTATGTAGATTCATCCAGTCAAGGAAAATTTTATGATCACTAAACATTGCCGAGTATGTGTTACACATTGCATTGCAAACAACAGAACTACCTTAAATAAATAGCTCAACTGTTTATCTCTGTGTTCTGCATGTGTAAATTACTAGTATATCATTTAATTGGGGTAAGAGAAGACGAATAGTCATAGTTGTGGGATATATGATTTTACTTGGTATCACTCAATTTTGAGGAGAAATCAGTATGATTATTGAGAGTTTTTTCATTGGAAATTGAGTCTCGAACTGTTTCCTAGAAAACCCTTTTCTCTAGCTCTGTGTTTAAAAGTTCATCTGAAATGGCAAGATATGAAATGCCTTTGCTGCTGATAACATTGAAATACTTGTAAATGTTCCCTTCTCAAGGAGCACCTTGAGACCCCTCCCTCACCTGGAGGTGATTTTGGAGAAAATGTAGTATGTCTACTGTTAAGCAGCCTAGGTGATGTGATGCCTGTGTCTGACAGATATCTGAAAATCCACTCAATAGAGTATCAAAATCGGTGTAAATTAAGGGCCACAAATGTAAGTATATGATATTTCTCTGTGAGATTAATCTATTTGGTGACTCAAAATTAATATATAAAGCATAATAATTTGATTCCTAGTACCAAATAAAAGGTTACAAATAGTTCCCTTCATGTTTTCAGAAATAGCTAACCAACTGGAGGTTTGTAAGGGTGTGTTTAAGCTGCTTTTGGTGTGATTGAACTGGAAGTTGGAAATGTTTCCTGTGGCAGATGCATTCTTGTGTAACTGCTTTCCCTTTGTTTTCAGAAATACCACTCAACATTTTAGCTAGTGCTCTGGTATTGTACCTGTGGTTATTTTCACGTGTTTAAATAACAAAAAATGCATGAGAGTCTCTGTGCATTTGAAAGGACAAAATATAATAGAGTCTGTGTGTATATATATATACACACAAATATTATATCTAAATATATGTGTATATATAACTTTGTAATCTATGTGCTTTTAATATGTTACACCAGATCACATCAGTGACATTCTTGTAATCTTACGGTCACAAAGCTTTTTTTCCATATCCAAAGAAGTCAACGGGAATAGCATCTTTGATCTTCAGAACAAAAAGTCTTAAGTCTACTCACGAACTTGCTTATACATGTAGGGTGTTGTTGGCATATGTTTGCTAGCAAAGCACATTTACTTCTCAGACTGTGCTATACTAACAATTGTCTTACCGAATTGGAATATAAATGTAGAAGAATGATATGTGTCTTACAGGTTTAGCTGACGTGTGAATTGACCTATGAAACATAGGAAATTTCCTGGGTTTATTTAGTCAGGACTAATACTTGATACTAATTTTTATTCATTTTTAGATTTGTAAGTTTAAAAGATTGTAAATGCACACCAGTCTCAAGATATTTCGATTACTTTGGTTAACCATGTTAGAAGTTATGTACAAGAGTGCAAAAATTGTCTGAAGTGCGATATCTTGTTTTTCATTCAGTCTAGAAACCTCCCTGAGTGCCTAATTGTTTGTTTTGTTTCCTCTTAGATGAATCGACTCCTAAAGAAGTCAGCAGGGTAAGTGCTGCTCTCTGTCCCCTCTAAAAAGAAGTGTAGTCTCTGAGGCCCACTATTCACTTGAGCTGATTTTTGTGCAGTCTCAGATCAAGACTTGACTCTGTTCCCTGGATACAGTGGATCTCCGGGGGGGGCGGGGAAAGGTGTACTGACTGACTACAGAACAATTAATAAGGAAGATAAATATTAAGAACACATGATTGGCTGTAAATAAATTAAACGGTATTTTGCATTAACAAATTCAGAGTTCTCACAGTGCTATTTTCATGATCCAGTTTTAAAAAGGTCCTTCACGGAAACCAGGAAAATCATGGGACTTTTGAGTTTAGGCATAACAGGGGGCTGTGTAATCGATGCTACTGCCTCGAGCAATGGCAAGCATTAAGAGGAAACAAGGGAAGGAGTATGCCTTATCTAATAACTCCCTTTGAGATGTGCTGCGGTACAGATGAGGTAGATTCTTTAATTTGAAATATTTTGCAGTGTACTGTGTGCAATGTAATGTAAAATCTTAAAAAATATATTCAGGAATAAATTCCCAGCTCTAGCCTTACACCTGATTGATACTGCGTCCTGCAGAATATCAGCATGGTTGAGGACTAGTTAGGGGGACCTGTTAGAAACTAGGGCCTTTGCTGGGAATGGCAAAAGATCAGTACAGAACAATCTGTTGCCCTCAGATGCGTCCAGTAAGCCTGAAGCACCCAAATGTTATTCCATGTGAGATGAAGGAGCCACTTCCAGCTGTCTGAGGTGGAATAATAGTCCTGTTTTACTCCTCTTCTTGAATGTCTTGCATAAACTATTTCATGTTCCCAGGAGAAACACAATAGTGTCAGAAATATTAAGAATAAGTCTGGTTGAATGACTGCAAAAGCCACCTGGGTGGTCTTGCTCTCGGTAGAAGTCCTTTGGAAAATACTGGGGTATGGAAGGAGTGGAAACAGGCTGGTAGTGGAAAGCTCAGTTTGGTAACCCTGAGAGCAGAGGGCTGGTGTAAGGGGGAACTGAAGTTCGGTTCTTACGAGACTATGAAAAAGAGATTAAATTATATCTAAAATGAGCTTATTCAAGCACAAGTTCTCAGTATACATCGTGTGCTTTGGATGGATAAGGGTGTTGAGAATTTAGGTAAAAATAAGTTTTAGTAATTTATTAATTTATTACACATTTTTTGATCACCCCTTAGTGTTCAACAGTTATGGCAGTTGAGTAAATGCCTATTGGTGCAACCAAAGATTATTGCTGTTAGTATATCTGTATATATTGTTTTGATTTCAAAATAGTTAGAGATCTGCCTAAAAAATTTCAGAAGCCGTAATTATTTCTGTAGAAGAAAGTTCCTTTTAATTGTTGTTAATTTGTAAATAGGTTCACTTTTTACCTAAATGTCTGTAAAATGGAGTTACAAAACTATCTAGGTTACCACATTGGAGATATTTAAAGCAAATGATGCAAACTCTGGAACCCTGAAAGCCTCTGAGTCTGCCCTGCCAGTCACCTCCTCTGTCTCTCAGACACACTGGTCCCAGCTATCCCAGCCCCTCGAAGTCATATGTAGTGACTCAAAGCTTTCCTGAGGATGGATGGGCTGCCACTTCAAGTCCTGGAGTCAGTGGGGTGCAGAAGATACTTCAGATGTTCTTAAGTAAACACATTCTCCCTTGGTTTTTTTTAGCTATCAATCATTGCGCACTTGGTGTGTATACCATGTTATGCTTCCCTTTCTTTTTTTTTTTAAAGTAGAATACTTAAGAACACTCAGTAATGCACTATACTACAACTCAACGTGTTTATTAGTTTATGCTATTTTTTAATAATGCTGTATATAATAAAAAATGTAGACCATTGTAATACATCCTCTTTCTTCAGAAGCAGCTCAAACAGATGCTAGTTTAATTAAAATCTGAACATAAATTAGAATTTAAATTAGGAAGGTTCTGTGCATGAGTAATGTTTTTCAGACAAAAAGATGTGTTCATGCTGATTGAAGAATTATGAGTTTTAAAGTCATTAAGCGTTACATTTTTAATTCCTGAAAATGTCTGCAAGAAGAATCTTATATCATAGGGAAGCAAAAATAAAGGTTAGTGAAAGGAAATCTATTGCAGAGTTAAATCACGAACTATTTTAAAATATTATATTAGTTAGGAACCAAGGTAGAAGTATGCTGGAAAAGAATGTGGTTTTCATCGCTGGTTGTTTTTTTTTTTTTTTCATCTTTCAATGTTGGGCATAGTGAAAACATTAAAATATTCATAGTCATATGCTGTGAGATCAGTTGCTTCAATAGTCTCCTTTTCTGTTGTGCTTACACCGGACAACAGAATTAAACTGAGGGAAGATATTTTTGTTAAATTTATTTATCACCTTTCTCCCCCTAAAAGGCCTTAACTTTTTCTTTATAAACATGCAAGATTATAGGATTATTTTAGAGGATCTGAATACTGAACTTGTCATTCATTTGCTTTTTTTCTTTTTATCAGCAAAATGCAGTGGGATGAGTGGTGTCCAGATTTAAAAAAAAAAAAAATTAAAAAAAATCTTGAATTATTAGAAGGAAATTTTGTTATTTTCAAGGATTTGTATTGCAGTTTTACACTTTGAAAGTTGAGGAAGTTCTGAAAAATGCTGTTGTCTAGGAACTGCATTTTTAATCTTCTGCCATTTTTAGCATTTTCTACAATTAGTAGAAAATTAAAATAAAGTAGCAATCTTGGCTATCAACGTTACACTGCATGTTTTTGAAATGAGAGAGTAGGAGAAACCTTTGACAATTTAAATTTTGAGATTTGCAGAATAGAAAAGAAGCTTTTCAAAATGTATTATTTTTAAGTCTGGTCTAGGAAGGGCAATTTCATCAGTATTTTGATGTTCAGAAGTTACATGTAAAGATATCCTAGATTAACCTGACATAGTAGCTGATGGGAGTGGGGAAGGGGAAAGATTTTGCGATTCCTGTAGACTGCTTTTGGCATAAGCACAACTCTGGTTACAAAATATCTCGTGAGCATCTGTGACCAAACAGTGAACCTGTGAACTTTTTTCTGCATGCTAGATTCCAGTATTTATGAAATATATGTGACTGGGGACAAAATCTCCTTTTCACGTGATGTAGTATTGGGAACATCCTTGGAAATGCTGAGTTTCTTCTGCTTACTTGTTGTGCAGATGTGTGTTGGCTGATCCCATCCATCCTAGCTACAGAAGTCATTTTCTGGGCAGAGGGATTTCAGAAAGAAAACCAACTATTGAACTACTTTGATGACGAAAACTTAAGCTGAATTTTATACTTTCTTTTTGCTGTTCTATCTGCAAACGAAATGAAAATAGAGTGTGATTTTTGAGCACTAAGTGCATACATATTTGTGTGTATCTAGACTAAAGATATATTTATTTGACAGTATTCATGAAAACAGCGTGCATTGGAGACATGTTATTCTTTTCAGTTGGCAAAAATAACCCCGTTCCTACATGAACTATGGCCAGGATTTTGTTCTACGTGCTGCTAAGCTTCCCATGATCACTGTGTGCTCTTTTGTACCTCAGATTCTGAAGTTTAAACAAAAATACTTAATGTTCCTGATATGATCACAGTGAAATTAGCTGTTGTTCATTTTGCTTAATGACTTTCCATTCCATGTTTACTTGAACAATACTTCCAGTGAAGCTGCCTTTTGGCAAGTACCTTTGCTTTGTAAACTCTGGTGATGCCAACAGCAATTCACTTTGCAGAAGTTTACCATATAAATACCAGAAAATTATTACCTAACAAGTGAATAGCTCATTTACAGTACTTTATTCTTGGAAGCAGGGATAATACTTTAATCCTCTCCTTTCCCCTTTTTGGACTTGGAGCTCTTGGCAGCTGCCTTGGCACCAGCTAGCACCCAGCACAGTATGTCACTGAAAGTTACAGAATTAGCAAGTGTGTTTTCAGTAAATAGTTGCAATAATTGCATATATCTTCACCATGCAACTAATAATAAAAGTTTGGGCTTTTAATGACACACATTGACAAAGCAAACTCATTCTTCATAGTATTTCCTTATTAAAGATGAGATGTAAATATTTTTGCACAGTCCCAGAACTGAAGACTGTGACAAATTAATCAAAAAGTTAGGGGAACTATAACAAACATGTATATTCAGCCTTTAGAAGTGATGCAAATGGCATTGCACCCATTGACACGAGAAGAAGGTACTTGTATAAGCTGATTTCTTTATAAAGAAAAATCTTGTGGATACTGTGGTAGTGATAAGCAACAGTGGTAAGAAAATGAGAAAGTTTATTTTTAATTTTGTACATGATGTCTTTAGAGTACTTGCAAGTCAAGTATTAGGAGGGAATGTGATTTTATAAAAAGCTTTTTAAAAAGAGGAGCAGTATTCAGCCTTGTCAAGTCAAAATGAAGCTCATTATGCTGTTTTATTATATAATCTGGAGAGGTGATATAATTGAGATATTCATGCGGTTTTATGAGCCTTATAGTTAATAACAGCTTATATGGTTACTTCTATATGATCATCATGTTCTTTTCTCATAAGCCAAACCTTTGCTTTTTTCTGTATTTTTCCTATTACTAGTGAAGCAATTTATTTCATTGTTACTATTCGATAGCAGGGAAGGAGCTGATGGAAAAGTTAGAATTGGATGCCAGTGAATGGGGGCTATTTGCAAGAAGCTCACCGTCTCTCCAAGGCTTGGAAATCAGCTACATAAACAGGCTGGGAAACATGTGCCTTCAAAATTAGTGAACTCTTTCTGTGCAGAGTGAGAGCTGGTTTGCATCTTTTGACTTAATAGGGCCCATCCTGCCAAATGTCATCTCGTATTTTCCCTTCTTTGCTTTTGTTGTGAACGGTGTTTGATGTACGAACGAACAATTCATAAATACCTGTGTATGGTGCTGCAATGCTAAACTTCTTATTTACTGAGCAAGTTCTAACCCGTGTCCTCTCCAGTCAAAACAAGAAGAATAGACGTCAGACAAATGCGTG